AGAGAGAGAGAGAGAGAGAGAGAGAGAGAGAGAATCATGTTTCCTAGGTGTCAGTATTTTGGAAGACAACGCTGTTGTAGTACCAAAATGGTAGAGGATAGAAATATTCAAGACATGAGAGAGAGCTCCTTGTGAAGGTGGGATTTTAGCTTTCCCTAAATGTAAAGATGTGCAGCTCGTACACATACAAAGAAATACACACAATCAAAGGCATAGAAGCAACAAATGCTGATATCTAAGTAAAATAAAAAGGGACATAAGGTAATTAAAACAACATAATTGGAAAGCTAGTCAATCAAGTCTACTTAAGCACTCTAACAACCCCATATGTGGGGCCCACCAAAAATAAAAAATATTTTTAACTAATTCAGTAATGCATTCAATTATAGAACCACTACCAGCCAGTGATAATATTTCAAAGGCTCATTCAGTATTAGTTGTACTACATGATTTTCAAATGGCAAAGCTAGATTGATGTATTTCTTCTTGCAATTCTAAAATCAATTATCACAGCCCCCTCTCTCCTCCACCCCCCACTCAAAAATATAAAATGAAAGGGGAAAAAAAAGGTTGAGTTAGATGTACACCCAATCCATTACCTAATGGATTACACCCCCCTCACATGGTCCATGTGAGGGGTGTGTAATCTATTAGGTAATGGATTGTGTACATTTAGACTAATCCAAAAAAAAAAAAAATCTCAATTCCACGATTGGAACAGGTCCAATAGAATTATGGCACACTAAAGGGAGATCAACATAATTAGCTTAAAGAATATATACAAAGATAAATTAGAGTGAAATTCCCGGTGAACCAGGTATCTACCAAATTCATACTCGAATAATTATCACAAAAGCAGAGAATTGAAAACAGTAAGGGTCCGTTTGATTGTAAAAGTGAAAAATGGGTGGAAAGAAAATGAATTTCAGGGAATTGAATTGCCTAGAAATTATTTTTCTGGGAATTGTAATTATAATTGTGTTTGATTGGTATAATTTTCCACTTGGAAAATGTTGAAAGTTTGGTATCCGTTTGACTTCATTTTTTATGAAAATTGTCCATTAAAGTGAAAAATTTTTCTACCATTGGGTCTAGAATTTGTTCAAATTGCCAAAAAAAATTACCATACCGAATATCATTCGTTTGGCTTCGTTTTGCATGGAAATTGTCAATAAAAGTGATAAATTTTTTTAC